CATTGTCCAAGGGGGTTTTCCAAATCAAGGCCTGCATATTGTCTCATTTGCTCCCTCAATCTATTTAAGAATCTAGCGGGTACCTCATCTTTTTCCTGTTGAATATCAAATGCTTTAGAAAGATTTTGAGTTCGGGGTACTGATTCTCGAATTCCTTTTATTATCATCTCTCTTAGGTCCTGCATGTTTTCCCGGCGATTTGCATTGTTATTATCCCACTGGGGGTCTCGAGTGGGAAATTTATGGTCTGCAGGAGGAACATTTTGACCAGAAGGGTGCTCACGTTCCCAAACCACCATAGCAGCCCTCCGAATCATACTTTGTTCTTTCCCTGAAAAGAGGATGCTCAAAATGGACATCAGCTCAGTCCAGTGTATATCTGAGGACCTAGAAATTGATCAGTTTGATCTGCTACTCCATAAAGGTCATCCAGTAATGGCTTAAGCTCCTTTTTAAAATTCTGGACTTCTGAACTAGTCAAGGGAGCGTTTACAAAGCCAATAGCTCCCCAACCCCTTGTGGTACCACTCTTAGAGGAAAGAAAGTTGGATCTGGCTCTTTAGGTATAGAGGGAAATGGAAAGTTTTGAATATCTTTTTTATATTGCTCTATCTCACCTTGAAACCCCTTTAAAGAGGGACACTTAATAGTTTGGTTGGGGGTGGGGGGCAGGCTCACAAGATGGTAATTCTGCGAAGTCAGGATTATAGGGAGGAGGAGCAATATGAGTATATGAGTACAGGCACCACAAGTTGGGGAGGGATCTGCAGCAGCAGCTAGGGGAATGGAACACGGGCAAGTGACGCAGGTGAGGGAGTGGCCTGAAACAACTGGGGAGTAACCCGAAACCACAGCCGGCGGCATGGAAACTGGAGGAGCGAGGAGGAGCGGGATCAGGGACCACTGGAAGAGTGACACAAGCAGGTGAGGGACCTGAAATGGAAACGGGAGCTGGAGGGGCAGGATTGGGGGCAATCAGAAGAGTGATGCAAACAGGGGAGGGACCTGAAATGGAAACAGGAGGGACGGGATTGGGGGCAGCTGTAAGAGTGACACAAGCAGGAGAGGGACCTCAAACGGGAACCAGAGGGGCAGGATTGGGGGCAGCTGGAGGAGTGACACAAGCAGGGGAGGGATCTCAAACGGGAACCGGAGGGGCGGGATTGGGGGCAGCTGGAAGAGTGACACAAATAGGGGAGGGACCTGAAACAAAGGCAGAAAGGAAGAAAAAAGGAGAAAAAGGAAAAAGAGGTGGGGGTACTATGAATTAAAGAATAAAGGATTGATCAGGCTATTTGAAGAGAAACCTCATTGTATCCCACAACTTAAAAAGCTATAGGGGACTGGTGGTATCATTTACTAAACTGGAGGAGACAAGAGACTCTTCTGGTTTGGAATCTAGAGAATTTAGTGGTTTAGGGTGAGTGGTGAGTTTAGGTTTGTACACATCGAGTTCACAGTGGATGTGCGGCCTTTGCAGAGATATTTGGTGGGCAGTTGAGTTATCAGGACAAGTAGTATAGTTGAAGGAGAGTATAGAGAATGAACAGAGGAGCCAGAGTAAGAAGGACTCTTTAGGGATATTACTATGTAAAAAAATACAGAAAGGAAGCCAAGAAAGAACAGTCTCAAAAGTAAAAGGAAAAATAGTAAGATGGGGTAATGGAAGTTGACAGAGGAAAGAGTTCCAAGACAGAAAGACCACAGGGACACAAATGAGGCAAGCACTGAAAAGTGTCCATTGGATTGCACAATTGTGATATAATAAGTAGGTCTGAAATTAATCTTCTCTCTGTCAGAGCCTGGAGGCTCAGACATTTGAAGGTGTTTTTGCCCAGTGACCGCTTCTGAATTTCTTCGAGGCTGCAAAGAAATCCCATCCACATATCTCATTTATTAATTTCCTGTTCTAATGAAATTTTAGAATATAAAGCCTTTGCAATTGAATACTTGTATCTTAAATTCCGGAAACTAGCCTTTCAAACTGCTCACTGAAGCTGAAAGTAGAATAGAATTTATATTTTGTTCAGAATATACAATGAGATAATACTTGAATAATAGGTTGGAGCCCATATTCCCTTAGCAATTCATAATGAGTAATATGTTACAGGCTTTGAAAATATATTTTTTTTAATTTTTATTTTTTGAGACAGAGTCTCGTTCTGTCACCCGGGCTGGAATGCAGTGGCACAATCTTGGCTCACTGCAACCTCTGCCTCCCAGGTTCAAGCAATTCTCCTGCCTCAGCCTCCTTGGATTACAGGCGTCTGCGACCATGACCGGCTAAATTTTGTATTTTTAGTAGAGACGGGGTTTCACCATGTTGGCCAGGCTGGTCTCAAACTCCTGACCTCAGGTGACCTTCCCACCTCAGCTTCCCAAAGGGCTGCAATTACAAGTGTGAACCACCATGCCTGGCCCGAAAGTCTTAAGTGGAGAAACCATATCATCTTTGTTTAACTCAGTATTCCCCAGTTATTTGAGCCCATAAATTGTTTTTACAAATAATAATGAACAAGCCCTGATGTAACTGTTCCTTGGCACATCCTTTGAAAAATGTCTCTGTCCTATTGCTGCTATAACACGCCCTGCCAAAAAATAAAAGGGTGGGGGAAGAAGAAAAATGTCTCTGAAGGCAATACAGATCACTGAAAAAGCAAGAGCAAAGAAAGGACAGAGATAATCTTTAGGACGCTATCTTCACCTCTAGAGAGTGATATGAAGACACTGTGTTAACACCAGGAAGGAGTAATGAGTGTCTGAACTCAAACAGTCTGAGTCTTAGTACAAAGGAGGGGATGAAGTGGGATTGATTCGGTTGAGAGAAGAAGAAGAAGTGAAGTGGGAGAGAAAGAAGATTGGAAGATGACAACAAAGCCTTCAGGTTTGGGCAACTATGCATATGACGGGAAATTTGGAAGAGGAAGTCTTGAAGATGACTAATGTTTCTGAGAAGAAAAAAATAGAAATAATACATGACTTTGTGTAAGTTGAGGAGTCATATTATGTGGGTGGAATTGAGAGGAAATGAGGCATTTTTGGGAAAAGGATAGGTTGAAAATAATTTAACCATAACTAGGATTGCTGGGAAACCATTGTCCTGATTGGTGAGTGTATATTTCTAAGGGTAGATTATGGTTCCAGAGGGAGGGCCATTAGGATGAAATTAACAGAATGTAGCTGTAGAAATTTAGGCAAATAACAGAAAGTTTGAGCCACTCTTCTTCTACTTGGTAACTCCTAGCAGCCATCATTGACATTCACGTTATTGAGTAACTACTATATAGACTGCACTGGATTAGATGACTCTTCTGAGATGGAAAGGAAATGAACTTTTTTTTTTTTTTGAGACGGAGTCACTCTGTCACCAGACTGGAGTGCAGTGGCACAATCTCGGCTCACTGCAACCTCTGCCTCCCGAGTTCAAGCAATTCTCTTGTCTCAGCCTCCCAAGCAGCTGGGACTACAGGTGCATGCCACATGCCTGGTTAATTTTTTTTTTTTTTTTTTTTTGGTATTTTAGTAGAGACGGGGTTTTACCATGTTGCCCAGGCTGGTCTCAAACTCCTGACCTCGTGATCCTCCTGCCTTGGCCTCCCAAAGTGCTAGGATTACAGGTGTGAGCCACCATGCCCAGCTGGAAATGATCACTTTCTTATGAAGCCCTGGGTGAGCTGGCAGGAAGCTTTGCCATTGGATGCAGGACAAGAGGGGAAGGATTTTAGGACTAAGATAAATTGAGAAAGCGTTTATTCAAGACAGTTTGAAGGCAATACATGCAAAGCAGAAAATCATAATTGCTAAGAAAAACTAATAAAGCTGAAAATAAATCATATCTAGCATCAGTCCAAAGTACAGGTCAATATGGCAGTCAAGTCAATAGCCAAAAGAATCAGAAAGGAGAAAACAATAGGAGTAAAAAATAGATTGAGGAGGCCAGGCGCAGTGGCTTATGCCTGGAATCCCAACACTTTGGGAGGCTGAGGTGGGTGGGAGAATGGCTTGAGACTAGCCTGGGCGACAGAGTAAGACTGCCTCCGAAAGAAAAGATGGAGGAAGTAGTTCAGGACTATGTCTTTGAATTTGGGTGAGGTGAACACTCCCCTTTTATGCAGTGCCAATGTGACGGTTGAGGTGTTTGGTGGCTTGATGGAATTATTCAGGCTGATCAAGAATAAGGAGAAGAAAGGTAAAAGAATGAAGGCAGGAAAGTGTATGTAAAGAGGTTGTGCCTAATGAGTCTGTTAGCTGAAAGGGAAGCAAAGGGAACCTGGAGGAGGGAAGTAGGGAGGAAAGTAAAGTATAACCAGGAAGTCAATTAGATTAGAGCAGCATGGTAGACTGGAAAAAATAATGAATTTTCTTATTTCAGTCTGCTTCATTCTGAAATTTCTTTTAGGAACATTCTGAACTCTGAAACACAGGAATAGGAACAGAGGAAGAGAATAGCACTACAATCCAGGATTGGACCTCAGAAAAAAATTAGTGAATTCCTATACTGACACAACTCCATTCCAGGTGCAGCTCTCTGGGGGCTGCACCACTTTGTACTGAAACAAGAAGCAGCCAGCCAAATCTAACAGCCATAATACTCACCTACAAAATGACAAGGTTTATAAATAACCATGGCTGCTCCTTGTATGACAACAGAAGCCCCAAGTTTTGGGGAATGCCACCAGGTGGTAAACCTCTTAAATGCAATGTGGAGTGGCCAGGTATCACACATAATGCCCCCAAATCTGAATTCTTGAGTACATGGCATTTCTCCACTAAATCAGGATTCTGGCACCTAATTGGAGTGGGAACACATTTTGCCGTAATTTCTGCTAGGCCCATTTGTGAATGAAAGACCTTATTGTCACAGTTCCTAAATTTATTTTTTAACTAATGTCTTTATTGTTAAAAGATTTTTTTTTTTTTTTTGACACAGGGTCTGACTCTGTTGCTGGAGTGCAGTGGCGTAATCAAGGCTCACTGCAGCTGCAACCTCCCATGCTCAAGCAATCCTCCTGCCTCAGCCTTCCAAGTGGCTAAGACAACAGGTAGGTGCTGCTGCACCCAGGCAAATTTTTTTTTTTAGGGATGGGGTCTTGCTATGTCTCCCAGGCTGATCTTGAACTCCTAGCCTCAAGTGATCCTGGCTTCCCAAAGTGCTGGGATTAGAGGCATGAGCCAGTGTGCCCAGCCTTATTTTACTCTTAACCAAGGGACCAGTAAGTCATGACAACCAGTTCAAAGGAAAATTCAAAGAGCCATACATACATACATGTATAGAGACACTTAAGAATACTGAAATGAATTAACAAATGAAGTAAAACTGGCTTATTCCACACGGGATGGGGTAGGGATAACAATTGTCACTCCACTGAACTCATTTGCACATCAGGAACAAGAATAATTTGCATCACTAGTCATTGTCTAAATTTACAAAGATAATGAAAGGCACAAACCTCACAGAATCAGATAATCTGGAGGTTATGTGCTAAATGAGGCCTAATTTCCCATTGAAGACACTCAGACATTGCAGTCTTTCCTAAATTTTCCCTACATGACCCACCTTTATAATAGCCTACTTTTTCTGCCTTATATTTTTAAAGCTATGTCTTTATTCTCATTGCCCAGATTACATATTTCTGAAATTTGATGCTATCCTGGTTAGTCAGATTCTCTATAGAATTGCAGTTCTGTTGATTTTTATTTACTAATTCTTCCCATGTTATCTCCAACCCCATTTGTTTTCTGGTTGTGAAACAGGAAAGGTTCCCTTGTCCCCCTCACAGGGCATGCAGTGGGGGTGTGGCTCACTTCTTCAGTGCCCCACTGCTCAGACCTCAAGGGGAGCATACAGACGGGCAGGCTGTGGGGCTCCGACCCCATGGCAGTGTCTAGGGGTGAATGTCTGTAGACAGTGGGCCTGTGTTACAGGGTGCTCTCTTAGTTTGCCATCTGTAGGAGGCTTGTGTTAACCAGCTCAATTAGACCCCCTTCCTTATCACAAGGACAGAGGGATTTCTGTATCCTGGGGGGTTTTGTCTTGGTGTACTGGAAGAATCATATCACATGTGGGCTTGGAGAATGAGTGTGAGGTTTTATTGAGTGGAAGTAGCTCTCAGCAGATCGGGGAGCCAGAAGGGAGATGGTTTTTCCCTGGAGTCCTGCCACTGGACCCTTCTCCAACTGCTCTGGCCAAACTTCGCATCTTCTGCCGGATGATGGCCTGCTGGTGCCTGTCAGCATGCTCTTCCGCAGTGTGCCCTCCACAACCAGCTGTTTGTGTTTTCCGCCGATGTGTTCCTCATGACGTCCAGCCACTTGTGTGTGTGTGCCTGCTAGGGTCTCAGATTTTTAGAGGCACAGGATGGGCATGGTGGGCCAGGGTGGTCTTGGGAAATGCAACATTTGGGCTCAGAGGCAGAAGTGCCTGTCCTCCGCTAGGTCCTTGGGGGTGGAGCCCTAGCCAGGAACCACGCCCTACTTACCCAGCACTTCCCTTCTCCGCTTCCGTATCATTTAAAGAAACGATGCTCTTCCCTTCCCAGCACTCCCGTGTCAGTTGTAATATGACAGGTGGCAATGTTACATGGCTGTGTAGCAAAATATTTTCTGGAAGCTAGCACTGTCAAGAAGGAAACTATAGGAGGAAAGGCAGTTGTGGTAAGAGCACAAATCTACTAGAAGTAATTAATCATGTAGTCTAGGAGGAAAGGAAGGCGCAAAGGTCTGAGTGGAGTGAATGGGGATTGCAGACAGTATATTAAGATAAGAGTTAGCTACTTAGGAGTAAATAAGGAGGTCTGGTTGAGAGAAGAATAATGCACAAGCATTGTGACAGGGACAGCACAGCCCACCATGTAAAGGTCAAGGACACAGAATGCTATGGAGAAGTTGCAGAGAGATGCCTTAGTTTTAGAATTATGTAATATTTCCCCTGTCCACAGGCCAAATGAAACACAGAAGGTATACACTTTGGCACCCTAAGCTTCTAGGTGAACAATATTTTTTCATAATGCATTTGATACCTACAAAGCTTTAGGAATTCAGAATAAAAAAGGCTGAAATGTCAAATTATATCAAATTATAATACTGCTTCCTGGCATGCATTCAACTTTCAGTTACAGTAGCTGCTTTGGAACGGATTTCCTCTTTTTTCTTGGCTATTTCAGATTTTGAATGTTTGAGCAGCAGTCAAACCTAGAAGGCAACTCTCAGGAACATTGTAGGCAGAACAAAGGCCTGAGGACCACCTTAATCCTAACTCCAGTTTGTGGGGGATCACCTTAAAGGTTCTTGCAATTCCGGCCAGGCACGGTGGCTCATGCCTGTAATCCCAGCACTTTGGGAGGACGAGGTGAGCGGATCACCTGAGGTTAAGAGTTCAAGGCCAGCCTGACCAACATGGTGAAACCCTGTCTCTACTACAAATACAAAAATTAGCCATAGGTAGTGGTGAACACCTGTAATTCCAGCTATTCAGGAGGCTGAGACAGGAGAATTGCTTGAACCCGGGAGGTGGAGGTTGTAGTGAGCTGAGATTGTGCCATTGCATTCCAGCCTTGGTGACAAGAGCAAAACTCTGTCTCAAAAAAAAAAAAGAAAAGAAAAGAAAAGAAAACTAGAGCTTTTCTCCAAATTATTAAATTAATATAACTTTAGCATAGAAAACTGGAAAACACAGAAAAGTAGGAAGAAGAAAAAACTCACCCACGTCCTGCCAATGATAGTGTCTATTAATCTGATTGCTTTTATTTCCTATTTCTTTAAATAAGATTAAAAATGGTTCTGACCCTACAGTATATATTTTACATCCTGCTTTTTTCAATAACATAAGATATTGTATCAAAATTTACTAAAACTGGGTATTTACATGAATGAAAATTAATCTTGACCCACAACTCACACCATTCACAAAAATTAATTCAAGGTAGCTCATAGCCCTAATACAAAAGCTAAGACTATGAAGCTAATCTATAAAAGCTAAACACTAAAGCTACAACTATAAAGAAGACAAGATAGGAGAATATCTTTGCAATCTAGGCAAAGCCTTCTTAGAACAAAAAATGCTCTAACCAGAAAAGACAAAAAAGAAATGATAGATTAGATTCATCAAAATTACTTTTATTTTTTGCTCATCAAAAGATGCTATTAAACTGAAAAAAATGCAACAGATTGGGAAAAATATTTGCAATTTATATATCTGGCAAAGGATTTGTATCCAAAATGTATAAAGAATGCCTATAAAATTCAATCCTAACAGGACAAACAATCCAGTTTCATTGCCTAAATTCACATCAAGTAAGTGGTCAAGTTGTTGCAGGTATCTCTCAGAAGAGAGCTGGAAGGATTAGTTTGAAGCAGAAGCATCCTTGACAGAGAGGATTAGCTACAATCAGGGAAGGAAACAGGAGTAAGGGAGAATCTCAAGATATAGTAAACAACTAAAAAATTCCAATACAATATAACTAAGAGTTGGATATACTTTACTTTGGCTAAGTGGTCTGTATCAGTCAGCTTTTGCTACATAACAACCAACCACAAAATCTCAGTGGCATACAATGTCCATCTATTTCTCACATGTCTGAGGTTGGATGAAACAACTCTACTTCAGGACTTGGTAGCTGGGGTGGTCCTACTTCTTTGGATCACACTTCTTTCGAAACACACTTCTTGAATCAGCCAAGGTGGCTGTGCCCCAAATGCTTCATTCTAGGGCCTAAGATGAAGACGGAGCAGCTTCCCTGGAGACTTCTACTCATGGTGATGTAAGAGGCATAAGAGAGCAAGCTTCACTACACAAACATATTTCAAGTTTTTCTTTGACACAGAAAGTTACATTGCTTAAGTCTGAAATCAGTGTGAGAGCTACCCACCTTTACAGTGGTGGTTCCCAGCTAGAGGAGATTCTGTCCCCCATGGGAGGACATTGGCAATGTCTAGAGGCATTTTTGGTTGTCACAATCGCAGGTGGCGAGTAATGATACTGACATCCACTAGGCAGAAGCCGCAGGTGCAGTTAAACATCTTACAATGTCCAGAACAGCTCCTCACAGCAAAGAATTATCCAGCCCCAATGTCAATAGTGCTGAGATTAAGAAACCCTGCTTTAGAGGGAGAAACTGAAAAGTTAGGTGACAAATGGCATGGATACAGGAAAAGATGAAGAATTTAGGCCTTTAATTCAGTCTACTGCAGATCTTAAATACGGATTCTCCTATTAGAATTCTTCATTGAAAATCTTGTAAATAATTAGCACCTTTTAAAGATGATGATAATATGGAACTTTTAACCTAATCTCAACAAAAGTAAAACTAAAAATATATTAAACTGGCCCTCTCAAATCCCATTAGAACTTTGATTTTTCTGATATTTTTCTCCATGCCTGAGCTCCCACGTATCATGCACAAAGAGAAAGAGTGTAGGTCCTGTGCACATCCAAGTGCTACAGGTTTTTGCGCTTGCATAATTGCAGCAGCAAAAGCATGTATCATTGGAGAATGTTCACATTATCACTTCTAAAGCAGTTCCAAAAAAAGAACACTTCAGAAAATATTCTCAATAAGTCAATCCCCATAACATTGCCCAATCTCAAAATCAATCTCTGTTAAGTAATAGGAGAGGAGACAGTCATGAGTCTCCCTGTGGACTGGGTGTCAGGCCAGAAGTGGTTGTTGCTCGCTATTGTGAAGGTTAAGAACAATTCAGGGTCGGGCATAGTTGCTCACACCTGTAATCCTAGCACTTTGGGAGGCCGAGGCAGGTGGATCACTTGAGCTCAGGAGTTCGAGACCAGCCTGTGCAGCATGGTGAAACCCTGTCTCTGCAAAAAACCACAAAATTTAGCGGGCCTGTGATCCCAGTACTCGGGAGGCTGAGGCAGGAGAATTGCTTCAGCCCAGGAGGCAGAGGTTGCAGTGAGCCGAGATTGTGCCACTGCACTCCAGCCTGGGCAACAGAGACTCTGTCTCAAAAAAAAAAAAAAAAACCAGTTCAGGGAAATACCCATGTAGGGAAAGGGCAGTCAAGTCCTTCATAATGTGGTTTTGGC